TTTTAGCTTACCCATTGCCCTGCAATGTGCATTTCATTTAACTTTGCTGTTCTGTATATATTGTGTATATACTGGACAAAGGAGTCTTAATTTTATATTATTTAGCCTTTAGATATTAAAGAGGTTGCCAATGTATAACAAACGTAGAGTTAGTAAACTAACACATTTTGTACACTTTATGTTAAAATTTATAGAAAGGCAGTCTTCTGAAAAGATCTTTCAGAAGTGAAATTGTAATATCACATTATATGACACTCAGATATGACACATGTGACATAGGAAACAGAAGTTGAAGAAATGAAGGATTCTAGGCCAGAATGATCCTACTTAGAAGACATTTTCAGACATAACCATTGTTACATGTGTGTAGTTTATTCAACAGTACTGTGTACATAGTGGACAAATTTAAGACCTTATTTGAAATATGTAGGATTCCTAGATGTTTAGAAGTGCACAACGGATGTTAAAAGTAGAGGTAGTGAATGAAATATTTTGTAGATTAAAAAAATTATTGCATATTCCAAAACAGGAAAATATAAAAACACAAAAGTTAACACTGAAAAATAAAAAATAAAATCCTGCTGAATGGAGATATCCCACCATCACTACCAGTATATGTGTCAATGTGACAAAATAGCCAAGACAATTTTGCCATCATGAGTGAGGGAAGGAGACACTACAGCCATCAAAGTGTATGATAAAAAATGTATACAGAGAGAAAAGTAAAAGTATTCCAGGAATAGGCTAACCCACGAAACAGAGGTCTTCATGGGTAACCAGCAAGTATTTACTAAGCACTTACTGAATACCAAAGGACACAGCATTTCAAAAGTATGTGATCTGATTATTTAAACATAAATAATGCAGAACTCGCAGAACCTGGGCTACTCCTGATCTCCTTTTAGAAAAACCCAAGTATCAGGACATCCTGGGGATCCATACTGTAAATATTTACCATCAGACTTACATGGGCAGAACAAATCTCAAATGTATCAATACCTGCCCCAACTTTGACAACTTTATTTTCCCTGAAGACCTCTCCGAAGTAGATAGTAGCAGCAGACATATGTTGGAAATGAGTGTGGGGATGTTCTATTATATAATTCCAGAAGTTACTGCATTTATATCCCAGTGGCTTCCCTCCTCCTCATCTGGTAATAGGTCGCATAAATAAGCAATGGGGACTGGCTTCACCCAGAATATCAATACCACTTTTTGCTGAGTAAAAGTGATTTTATTATTATTATGCTATTACTTCCTCATGTTTTGAAGGTAAATGAGCTTATCCTTTCACCATCATTTACAGGGTCAATAAGAACCACCCAAAGCAAATAAAGATAAATTCATATAACCAGAGAGCTTGGATTTGGAGGTTGATATGATTTGAAATTCTCTTTCTATAATGGCATAAATGAAACTTCAGTTTTATGTAAACTACATATTATACTTGAAGCATCATGGGTGTGGGGACTGAAGATCAAACCCAGGACCTCATGTATGCTAGGAAAGGGCTTTACCACTGAGCTATTCCCTTGACAATAAACTTTTAATGGGACAAAAAGAAACAGAGAAGGAGACTTCATATATAGAGGGAATGACAGTTGATATTACTATTATTGTATTATCATTATTACTGTTATCTATCCAGCCTTGATTTGTTTTTCATAATTTTCTCTTTTTGAGGAAAAAAAATCTGCCTTTCTGCCACAGAAATTGATTCAAAACTAAGGCCTGACTTAGAGTCTATATCCCATGGCTAAAATGATTGGTTGAGAAATTGGAATGTCACTCTATCAGGGATTTCTCCAGATGGTTAAACTGGAGTTGACATGTTTGATCTCTTGCTATTCAGGTGATAGGCTGAAAGTTTGAGATGTTCCTCTACATACCCATATTTCCAGAGGAGAAAATAAGAACTATCAGGAAAAGCAGTACTCAGACAAACACAGAGAGCACTAGGAAGAGGGAAAGAAACACACACAAAGACAGATAAAGAAAGGCAGCGAGATAAACACAAAGAGAGAATGCAGACAAGGAGAAAAATACTGGACTATAGAAGGACAGAAAGAAATGACGTGTGCACCATGAGCACAGTCCAATTGGTGGATTGAGAAAGAAAAGAAAAAAGAGGTAGACAGCTAGACATTCTAATGCAGGGAATAAATAAAAGATATGTGAGAGAGAAGTTCATGGAGGAACACGAATGGAAGAAAGTTAGAAAAACCATATAATATATGAACAGAGAGAGGATCCTTCAGATAGACAGAGATAGAGAAAAATAGATGATAGTAAGAGACAGCCAGGCACAGTGGTGCATGCCTGTAATCACAGTGGCTCAGGAGGCTGAGGCAGGAGATTGTGAGTTCAAAGCCAGCCTCAACAACAGTGAGGCCCTAAGCAATTCAGTGCGACCCTGTCTCTAAATAAAATACAAAACAGGTCTGCAGATGTGGCTCAGTGGTTGAGTGCCCCTTATCAAAACTAGATAGAGAGACAGACAGATGAAGAGCTACAGAGTAGAAATAGAAGAACACTGAGAGAAGAGAGTAAAGACAGGAGGAAAAGGTCAGAGAGAAAGGAAGGAGCTAATAGAAAAAGGAGAAAAGAATATCATATTAGTCCTTGATCTAAGCATTTTTCAGAAGCCAAATTCATTTATGAACTTTTAAATTACATGTCAAAAATTAATGTTTTCCTTAAGATGGTATTAGTGGAGTTTCCATCACATGCAATCAACATATTACTTTCTAATAAAACTCCCACTGGCAAGTATATAATCTGGTAGTTCAGACGCAACCCACAATCATTGTCTTTTGCCTCCATGTACATAGTCAACAAGGCCAGGAGACATTTGTGTGGCGAGGTTGGTTAACTTATAGTGTTAGGTGTTATTAGGCAACATGATGGCACAAAACAATTCCAATAGCTCAAATATATAAAACGCATCAGGCTGCAGCAGAAGCCAGGAAAGACTGCTGCACACAACCCCACTTCCAAGCCCCCGGATAGTGGACAATTGAATGTTTTCATACCTTTTCACATTCTTATATGGCACCTGAATTAGACCAGGTATGGGGACCCATGACTTCCCCTAGTCTCCTCTCTTTGGGGCTTCACTGAACTAGCCCTCTAGAATGTGGTCCTATCTGTGTCAGTATCTCCCACCACCACTTTTACTCAATCAGAATCAGAAACACAAGGGACTCACAAATCTATTTAATTTTGAAAAAATATATATTGAAAGATAAAGGAGTTTGACATTAAAATTGTGGGAAGTCTGCAGACAGAGGACAAGATCAGAAATGTGTTGAAAATACTCATGGCACAAACAGATGTGGCCGGCAGCACAGGGAGCGGAGCTCCCAACGTCGGGTGGAAAGCAGTTACAGAAATTCAGGAAAGACCAGAACAAGAAGAGGGCCAGGGGCCTGGGGTTTTGGCTCAGTGGTACAGCCATTGACTAGCATGTGTGAGGCACTGGGTTTGATTCTAAGCACCACATACAAGTAAATGAATAAAATAAAGATCCATCACAACTAAAAATTGTGTGTGTGTGTGTGTGTGTGCGTATGCAAAAGAAGAGGGCCTGGCATCTGCGCTCAGACTCTGTGGGACTCAGGTCTTGATGGGGACATGGCTGGCAAAAGTGGATTCCTCACAAGCCTGAGAGAAGGGAGGCTAGGAACTGGGCACAAGTGTGAAGAGCACAGTAGACCATGGAAGAGAGGTAACAGGAAGAAACATGTTGGAATAAATGCATGAGCCCTGAAGGAGAGAGAAAAAAATAAGTCATAAGTTAAATCCCTAGAGAAAGTCAGCCCCCCTGCCCAATACCCCTGGGGTCTCTCTGCAACTCAGAACACTAAGGGTGATTTTTGTACAACCACCCATTCCTCACCATCTCTCCTGGTATCTGATTAAAGAGGATACCGTCCTAAAGTAAAAAAAGCTTCCACAGAGGCATGTGGAAGAAGGCTCCACTTCCATCACCAGTCTAAGTGCTTTGGTGAAGCACAGGTCACGTAATTAACTGGACAGGTAAGAATTGTAACCTCCTGTCATCTCACCTAACATCCAGCTCAGCAGCACTCTGTAATCTGGGGGTCTGGGAGCATCATACAAGCCTCACTCAGTGCCAAAGGTTGGGGATTCTTCTGGAGAACAATTCCTGAAATTTCCTGCAGAGACCATGTGTAATGTTCCAAAATTTTCCTCCAACCAAACTCACATGAGAAAGAGTGTGGCATGAAGTCAAGAACAAAATAACTGAAGTGTATTAGGGTGTCCAGTCAAACCCAGCCAACATCTTTATCTATCTTACATGTGTCACATTTCTGGGCAAGAGGAGTAGGGCTCTGTCTTGTGGGTGGAACTTTGGGTTGTTCCATCATCAGCAAGAACAAAAAGAGAAAGGGTCAGAAAAGCTCCTTAACCTGGGCAAAGGAAGAGTTGCTTCTCTTCCTTTTTCCCAAGTTCCAAAAGAAAATTCAAAGAATTTTCCTGATTACTCTCTCTCCCACTCTAGTCCATGTGCACCCTTTCACTGTCATCAAGTGGCATCACCCCAAAGTCACTGAGTCAGTTACTGAAGGTAGTGAGCAAAGACACTGCATCTTTAAGGAAGTCACATGTTAACAACTGCTTGGCATAGGTAAGGATGGACTGTCTTCTAAAAATCTCTGTCTAAATATCACCCTCCACACTGTCCTCTCTGATGAAGCAAACTTCACTTGGGACAAGGAGAACTCATGGCCTCCCTAATTTCTGCAATCTACTTCTATACCTACTTTGGCTCCCCCTTTTTACTGTGATAAGAAAAGTTACAACAGAAACACTTAGTCCTAGCGCCAGTCTACAACATTTCCTCTAAAGGTGACTTACCTTTCTTATTCCAAAAGTGGACAACAAGGCCCAAGCCAAGAAAAATCAGTCCAGGCACAAAACTCCCAATTCCACTCAGCATCTTGTTCTGGGCAGATTCTGACAGTGCCCCTGGGAAGTAGAAGCTTGTGCATCAGTGACTGTCCCCACATCCCACAGAGTCCTCATCAGAAAGCCTGGAGTCCAACCCAAGATATAAGAGACACAGGTGCCCCACTACCAAACAGAGGAGGGTCAAGGGCATGCAGAGACCCCAGGAGAACAGTGGATGGAAGAGGGTTTGGGGGAGTGTGAGTCCCCAGGGTAGGTCCATCTGAAAATCCAGAGACTATCCCATCTGCAAACACCAGCCTTAACGTTAAAGCCCAGAATTTCACCACTGCAGAAGATATACTGCCCAGCTGAACCTCAGCCTGGAGATCAGGTTACATAAAGCAATAATATCTTGGAGCGAAAAGAGGTCAGTACTCAGCATCTGAATTTTGACTTGAGATCTCAGGCCTCCATGACTCTAGGCACAGAAATGACACCAGGAGTTGCGTAGGAGAGAAGGTATGAATGTGTCCAACAGCAGAGGAAAGGAGGGACCCCAAGCTCACAAGACCCAATGTCCTCCCTGCTCCCTGGTATCAATGAAGTGGCCCTTACACCATTCTATAGTGATGGGGCTCTGGAGGCTGGGGTGCTCCAAGTGGCAAGTGTAGACATCTCCAGGCTGGGGTGTTACTTCCAACATCACAAGAATCTTGTAGGTCCAATCTCCATTCTGAATAAGTGGTGTGGACACAACTCCAGAAGTCTCTTCCTCTTTATTCCGGAACCATCTGACTTTAACTTGTTGAGGATAAAAATTTGTCACTGAGCAGATCAGCAAATTGTGGTGGTTTAGGGGCTCTGTCCTGGCTGGAGAGATGGTGACTATAGGCTCCACCAGGATGAATGACAGCAAAAAATAAAGTCAGAGAATGAGGCAGCGAAGAGGCTCTCGCCATGGGCTTAAGTTCCTCCTTTGAAACGATAGTGGAGAAAACATACCAAAGGTTTCACCCATTTGTGGAAGATTTTTTTTTAAAAAGTTGATCACATAGAAATAGAGAATAGAATAGAAATCAATACAGCTAGGAAAGGAGGGTGAATAATGGGAATCAAACATACCTTGAGGGGAGCACTTATAATGTTATACAGCTCCACAAAGGATACTCTACAATAATTAATTACACACTTTGTAAAAACTAGAGCATAAGAGTTTGGATTGCCAATAGACACAAATGATAATATTTCAGAAAATGGAAATGTTGATCTCCCCAGTCTGATTATGATCATTGTGTTGAATTACAACACTGTACCTCATAAATAAGTACCAATAATATATGTTGATTTTTAAAAGAAAAACATAATTAAAATGTATCTTTTATAAATATGTATGGTAGCAATGAATATACCATCATGGTCCTTTAAGATATTCAGACTAATGATGTCCTAGTTTTCTTGCTTTAAGTACAGTCTGTGATTTTCACAGAATGCAATTAACTAACAATGCTCTCCTCCTCTGTATTTCCCCACTATGTTGTGCTACTTCATCATGGGCTCAAAATCATTGCTATCAACCAACCATGGACTAAACTGTGAATCAAAATAAACCTGTCCTTTATTTAAGTTAATTATCTCACGCACTTTATTACAGTAACTCAAAACTGACTAATACACTATTCCAATGCTCTCCTGCCAAGTCTTTCAACAGATTTTCCTTGAATTCAAATGCCCTCCCAAGCTTACCAAAATACTAGGAATCCCAAAAGTTGCCTTCCCCACAGGCCTTCCACACTATTTCAGAGGTGAGCGCACTTTGATTAGTCCTAAACTCACCTCTCAGCTGAACAGTGAAGAAAGCTGTCTGGTAATAGTTGTGTCTGCACAAGGTGTCTACATGGGCCTGATACTCAGCCAGGAGGTCCTTCTGGGCATTGCAGCTCTTGGCACTTGACTGCCTCAGCTCTGTTACAACCACAAACACCCCCACATCACTGTCAAAGCTCAGGATCTCCTCCTTGTTGTAGATTTGTCTGGCCATGAGCCTCACTCGCTGAGTCCCATTGGTGAAGTAGCAGGTGCCCTTAAACTGGTACACAAAATCCTCTGCAGGAGAACCAGGCCATGTTAGATTTAGCCCAGGCTTGCATTCCAACCAACCCTGTGTTTGGTTTAGGGAGACACAGGGGGTAAAGTGACATCACAACACAGACCAGTGACTAAACAAAATCTGCTCTCAGCCCTCAGAATTTTATTCCCAGGATGAATGAAGTGATTTCTCTACCTCAAATCCTGCATTGATCATTTATTGGAGAAAATAAAAAATGTCAAACAAGGAAGATAATGAAATAATGTTTGGAATACAGAAACAATATTGCCAACATTTTCATATACTGTATCTGTAAATATCAAAAATCCAAAATAATCCACTAACTAAAAGAATTTAAAGTAAGGGAGAGTTCAGCAAATGGCTGGATACAAGATCCATTTTCAAATATTCTACATGTACATGAGTAACAAATGTGAAGTCAAATGTTAATTACATCATTTATAATGACATAAAAAATTATGAAGAAGTTTTATACTTATATACAAGAATTCTAAAAGGGAAATAATGAAATTTATGAGATACACCAAAAGGGTCCTAAATAAACACAAAAATACACCTGTACATGAATTGGAAGACTGAATATTATAAAGAAGACATTATCTCAAATGGTCTTATGGATTCTGTGGGTATAATTTAAAATTCCTACCAATTTGTGATTACTCAAAATTTACAAGCTGATTCTAAAATGCAATAAAGGTTCATAAGGCAAAGATGGTGATTAAACATCATATTTTTGGCACAGACATAAACAAATAAATGGCATAATGTATTCCAAAATAAGTTTCATGAATCTATTTAGACTAAATTTACAACAAGGGTGGCACAATAGGTGGTCAGTGAGGAATGAATACTTTTGTTAATAAATGATGTTCTAATAAATGGGAATACATCAGAAGGAGCAGAAGAAATTGGGCATACTTCTTGCACCATATGTAACATAGACCTAAGTATGAATGAAATGCTACAAATCTGTTAGGAGATAAAACTAGAGAATATTTTCATGATGTTGGAGTTTGATAGATTTCTTAAATCATTAAAAGCACTAAAGATAAATAAAAAGTTTGATAAATTCAATTCATTAAAATTAACAGCTTCTGCTCATCAAGACACGTCATTAAAAGACTTACACAGGGCCAAAAGTACAAATATTTGAAAAACACATACTAATGATGGGCTTGATTTGAAATATATTTTTTATCTTTTTGAAATAAATGAGAAAAAGATAAATATGGAAAAGTATAGAAGTTCCCATAACACTATACACTCACCAGACAGGGAAACATTAAATAGTCTAAGACACTAAAAGCTGTCAAGAATTGGATTTTCTTATGAATAGCTCATGAGACAACTAATGTGAATAACAGTTGGACTTTCTCTTGTCAAGCTGAAGATAGGCAGACGTTGCAATTGAAGTATCTATTTCAGTCTAGAGAAATGCAGACCCAAAGGTTTCAGGATTCCCGGATACATTTTCTTTTAAGTAAGACCAGCTCAAACTTCCATCCACATAAGAACAGGTTAAGCACATTGCTCTGCCCTCATAAAATGGAATGTACTACCCAACAAGGAAAATGGATGAATGTTGCATCAGAGATTTGTGGCAAGTCTTCTCAGACATAATATTGAGAAAGGAAGCAAGACAGAGCACAGCATTTATAGAACATTTGGAGAAGAAAATATTAATCTATATTGTTTAAGGAAACATTCATATATATGCTAACAGAACAATGAGCAAAATATTAGGATTAAAAGAGTCACAATGGAACTTATTTCTGGAATGTAAAAATGGGTACCTTTGGAAAGGAGTATACAGAAGTCATTTGGAGAATTGGTAATATTCACATATGTTCAACTTGATTAGTGGTTATTTGGATATTTCCTTGGAATTTTTGTTATGTGTGTGTGTTATGATGTCTGTTGTGTTATTTTCCTAATAATTAGATAAAAATACACTATAATAATACATACCCCGGAGTCATCAATTTGTATCTGTGTGTGTGTTTTAGAAAGACCAAGTGAGACAGTTGATGTAACACTATCACTACAGGCTTGGGATTTAATGGGTGCAAAATAAATATCAATTTTGGAGTTTTTTTTCACCATTGTCATAGCCCCCATACACCATCAATACTGAATAAAGGCCCTAATTAACCCAGAATTAGTAACTGCTTGTCCTTATCCCATTCTTCCTCCCAAGTCCCACAGTGTCATCTCCATGACCCCACTGCTTATCTCCAAGGCATGGGTGATTAATAGTGCTCTACAGGTATTGAAGCTCCAGAGACTATAGCTCTGGTCTGAATTTGTCTGATCCCAAGCCCCAAAATAGATGAATACTATTGGGCCCAGAAAATCCCCAGAGTGGCCAGTTCTTTTAACTTACCTGATGCTTCTCAAGTACCTCATTTGCATTTTGTACTGTGTCTGGTATAGAAATGAACTTTGTCTTTTTCTTCAAATTCTGAGATCCCAAAGTCCTTTAGAGATATTAGCCTCCCTTCCACTGCAGAGGTTGAAAAAAAAGGAATCTAGCAAAACTCTAAGAAGGAGAAATCAGGACTCTTGTAAGAGTCCTTCCAAATTCTACCTGTGGATTGTTGAAAATACAACACACCAAGCTTAAGCTCCAGAGCCCCCAAGAAATTATTTCCAAATCTGGGCTATGAATAGCAGCTGTCCTGCACTTACTTGGGGAATCTCTTCTGTTAGCCATGGGAGTCCTCAGCACCATGAGAACCACCATCAGTCATATGATCTGCCCAGATTGAGTCAGGAGGATATAGACAACCTAAACAGACCAATATCAATTGAGGAAATAGAAGAAACCATCAAAAGACTACCAACTAAGAAAAGCCCAGGACTGGAGGGGTATACAGCAGAATTTTACGAAACCTTTAAAGAGGAACTAATACCAATACTTTTCAAGCTATTTCAGGAAATAGAAAAAGAGGGAGAACTTCCAAATTCATTCTACGACGCCAACATCACCCTGATTCCTAAACCAGACAAAGACACTTCAAAGAAAGAAAACTACAGACCAATATCTCTAATGAACCTAGATGCAAAAATCCTCAATAAAATTCTGGTGAATCGGATACAAAAATATATCAAAAAAAATTGTGCACCATGATCAAGTAGGATTCATCCCTGGGATGCAAGGCTGGTTCAATACACGGAAATCAATAAATGTTATTCACCACATCAATAGACTTAAAAATAAGAACCATATGATCATCTTGATAGATGCAGAAAAAGCATTCGACAAAGTACAGCATCCTTTTATGTTCAAAACTCTAGAAAAACTAGGGATAACAGGAACATACCTCAATATTGTAAAAGCAATCTATGCTAAGCCTTAGACTAGCATCATTCTGAATGGAGAAAAATTGAAGACATTCCCTCTAAAATCTGGAACAAGACAGGGATGCCCTCTCTCACCACTTCTGTTCAACATAGTTCTCGAAACACTGGCCAGAGCAATTAGACACATGAAAGAAATTAAAGGCATAAAAATAGGAAAAGAAGAACTTAAATTATCACTATTTGCAGGTGGCATGATTCTATACCTAGCAGACCCAAAAGGCTCTACAAAGAAACTATTAGAGCTAATAAATGAATTCAGCAAAGTGGCAGGATATAAAATCAACACGCATAAATCAAAGGCATTCCTGTATATCAGCGACAAATCCTCTGAAATGGAAATGAGGACAACCACTCCATTCACAATATCCACACAAAAAAATAAAATACTTGGGAATCAACCTAACAAAAGAGGTAAAAGACTTATACAATGAAAACTACAGAACCCTAAAGAGAGAAATTGAAGAAGATCTTAGAAGATAGAAAAATATACCCTGTTCATGGATAGGCAGAACTAACATCATCAAAATGGCGATATTACCAAAAGTTCTCTATAGGTTTAATGCAATGCCAATCAAAATCCCAACGGCATTTCTTGTAGAAATAGAGAAAGCAATCATGAAATTCATATGGAAAAATAAAAGACCCAGAATAGCAAAAACAATGCTAAGCAGGAAGTGTGAATCAGGCGGTATAGCGATACCAGACTTCAAACTATACTACAGAGCAATAGTAACAAAAACAGCATGGTACTGGTACCAAAACAGGCGGGTAGACCAATGGTACAGAATAGAGGACACAGAAACCAATCCACAAAACTACAACTATCTTATATTTGATAAAGGGGCTAAAAGCATGCAATGGAGGAAGGATAACATCTTCAACAAATGGTGCTGGGAAAACTGGAAATCCATACGCAAAATGAAACTGAATCCCTTTCTCTCGCCATGCACAAAAGTTAACTCAAAACGGATCAAGGAGCTTGATATCAAATAAGAGACATGGCGTCTGATAGAAGAAAAAGTTGGCTCCGATCTACATACTGTGGGGTCGGGCTCCAAATTCCTCAATAGAACACCCATAGCACAAGAGTTAATAACTAGAATCAACAAATGGGACTTACTCAAACTAAAAAGTTTTTTCTCAGCAAAAGATACAATAAGAGAGGTAAATAGAGAGCCTACATCCTGGGAACAAATCTTTACTCCTCACACTTCAGATAGAGCCCTAATATCCAGAGTATACAAAGAACTCAAAAAATTAGACAATAAGAGAACAAATAACCCAATCAACAAATGGGCCAAGGACCTGAACAGACACTTCTCAGAGGAGGACATACAATCAATCAACCAGTACATGAAAAAAAAATGCTCACCATCTCTAGCAGTCAGAGAAATGCAAATCAAAACCACCCTAACATACCATCTCACTCCAGTAAGATTGGCAGCCATTATGAAGTCAAACAACAACAAGTGCTGGCGAGGATGTGGGGAAAAGGGTACATTTGTACATTGCTGGTGGGACTGCAAATTGGTGCAGCCAATTTGGAAAGCAGTATGGAGATTTCTTGGAAAGCTGGGAATGGAACCACCATTTGACCCAGCTATTCCCCTTCTCGGTCTATTCCCTAAAGACCTAAAAAGAGCATGCTACAGGAACACTGCTACATCGATGTTCATAGCAGCACAATTCACAATAGCAAGACTGTGGAACCAACCTAGATG